GTTTAGTTCAAACAGACCTTTCCAAGAAAATGACAAGTAATGAGCTTCGTTGGAAAAACCTGACAAGAGGTGAATTAAAAGTGTATTTTGGGCTTCGAATAATGATGGCTTGCAACAAGGTATAATATAATTTTACAGATCAATGTCGTAAAGTCATCAGCTTGCATTGATTATAAAAATTTCAGAAACATGAACTAAAGGAATATTGGACAATCGATCCCGAAAATCCTTGCTCATCTGGCGAAAAAGTCAATCAAGTGATGAAGTATTACCGTTTTTGCGATATTCACAAATATTTGCATTTTTCTGACAATGAAGATGCCCTGTCGATTGGTGACAAAATGAGCAAAGTAAAGCAATTGGTTGATGAACTCAATAAGAACTTTGCAAAATATTATTCTCCTGGAAGAAATATCTGCATAGACGAAAGTTTAATCCCATGGTATGGTCGTGGTCAACGGGTTTATATAAAGAATAAGAATGCAGGCTATGGAGTTAAAGAGTTCAAACTTGCAACCGGAAACGGATACGTTTTGCGTGTTCTTCCTTACATTTCTGATCCGGAAATTTCAAGTGTAAATGCGGATTATGTTTGTCAAGTCCTACTTCAAGGTTATTTGAAAAAAGGTCATGTTCTTTGCACTGATAATTGGTATACATCAATTCCATTGGCTGTTTGGCTAGCAAATAACAAGACTTATCTAGTTGGTGAGTATTGTTTTTGAACAAATGCATTAGAATCAGGTTACTTGAGAGTGTAACTAAAATCAAAAATACTTGATTTTAAAATTGTAGGCACAATGAAGAATAACAGAAAAGGAATTCCTCAAGATTTGAAACGTGAAGTTGAAGCTGGCGAAATGAAATCTTATTTTTCAGAACAAGAAAAAATACTAATTTACCGAGCAAGAGACTACAAAAGGCCAAACACAAATGACAAAAAAAGTTATTTGATTTTATCGACGTTTCATTCAAATTGTCGCAAAGCAATTGTCGACAAAAACAATCAAGTTAAAAATAACATCGTAGCAAAAGGAAGAGGAAAAACTCGAGTTTTTGAAAATTTGGGCCCAATGACTCGTCCGGTGGCCACTGAATACTACAACAAAAATAAGAATCCAGTTGACAGAAGTGATGCGAAAACCAACAAGTCAATTTTTGTAAAGGGAAGAAAATGGTACAGAAGATTAGTTGATGAATTGCTTTTCAACACGGCGGTCGTAAACGCGTTTGAATTGTATAGAAGCACAATCCAAAATTTTGATTCGCGAACCACAACAATTCCAAAAGAATGCACCAAATTGTTTATCAAATTAATTCAAGACGGAAAAAAGGAAAGTAAGTAATGTTTTTGATAATGTCATCAGCTTGCATTGATTTATAAAATTATTTTAGTGGAATCGAAAAGTCAAATTCAAATTTCAAACATTGTCCATCGTTTGAAAACATCAACTGGAAAAAACAGACGTTATTGCGCAAGTTGCACTAAGAAGATCAATGGTTCAAAATTGCCGACACAAGAAAAAAAAGTGGCAAAAAGGAGTAGTAGAGGTAATGCTCAAAAATTATTTTTAAAAAATTTTAATTATATGTTTTTTCAGTTCATACTTCTTGCGACATTTGTGACATATGGCTTTGTAAGATATGCTTTTCAAAAAGTGAAAATCACAACTAACATTGTTTTGAAATACCATTATGTAAACTAATAAATATTTGTTTGTTTATAAAAAATCATTGAAATGTGTTTGGTGTTTAGTTTTACTTGTTTTTTTATTGAAAAAACACACTTAATAAACATTTTTATT